ATAAAAATAAATCCAAGATAAATAATTAAGCCAATGAATTTATTTTTTTACAATGATAATAATATCTAGATTCTACTTTTACAAACGGCAAACATACAAGTAGTTATAATTAATAAAGTCAAAAAAATGGTAAAATCAAATGTAAATTATTTAAATATAAATAAATATCAATTCAATATGAATAATTGAATTAGGTTTGAAATGTATTGATACATTAGGTTTAATTAAATTTAAAATAAAATTAATATATATTAAATTTTTCACGAGGATAGAAATTCTTGCAAGATAGGAAAAATTCCAACATAAATTCATGGGAAAAACTCCTCTCATTCTCACTTTGTAAAAATCAAGAGAAATTGTCATTCCTAATTAACAACCCTACAGGTTATGCTTGTGTAGGGAGTCATCTTAGTACAAAATTTTTTATTTAAAAAAAAGTAATTAAGAAAATATTGTGTAGAAAGTTGGAAATTATTATATAAAAAGTTATTAAATTTTATAATAAATTTAGTTAAAATTTTATTAGGTTATTAATTTTGTTATATTAAGTAAGAAATTAATATAGGAAAAGTTGTGAAGTAAATTCAATATAAAGAAAGTTATGTGAAAACCTTTTTTAAAAAAAAAATATGTAGAAAGAAAACTTTATGTGTTTATTTGGTTAGAGTGCCATTTTATTAAAAGAAAATTGTTAGGATAGTAATTAGAATAATATTGTATGAAAAGTTAAAAAATACTATATAAAAAGTTGTAAAGTTTTATTAGAATATTATTAGATTATTAATTTTGTTGTATTTAGTAATAAATTGATATAAGAAAAATTATTAGTGAGTGTTGTTAAGCAAGTCTAATATATGAATAGTTATAGGAAAATTTTTTCCTATCAAAATAAGTAGGAAGAAAACTTTAGAGGTTAATAATTGTGTAAAAAAAATAAAAATTTAAAATATCACTTTTATTTTCTTTTTATTATAATATTACTGTATAAAAATAAAAATTAAGTGAGCTTAATTTTGAATTACTTAACATGTAAATTTGTTAAATTTAAAAATAAGAAAAAGGTTGCTTCCATTGCGATCCAAAATTTAAAAAATAAAAATATAAGAAGAAGGAGAGAGGAGGGGCTGCGTGATGACGACGCAAAACTTTCTTGAGGTTACTCACTTTGAGTCTTTGATAGTTATTTTAAAAAGTAACTGCTAAATTGCAGAAAAAAAATAAAAAAATAAAAAAAAACTGAGAATTAAGGGCTCATTTTAGTGATTATTAGTAGTACGATGGAAAAAAATTTTCGAATCTTTTCATTTTTTGTCAAGCAAGTCATCTAACGAAAACATGTCCTGCTGGAACGGAGGACTCATTGAGGACCTGCTAACTAGCTTGACCATCATATAATCATTTTTTATTTTTTTAATTATAATATAATTAAATGTTAAAAAATAACAAATAAATATTAGTGATCAAAACTTAAAATTAAAACTAAAAATATCAGGCTAAATTAAGTAAATAATATATTAATTATGTAATTTATTTTAATTTAATTTAAAAATAATTTTTACCTTAAAAATGACTTATAAATTATTAATTTTGTATAAAAATAATCTACTTGACAGACATTGAAGTTAACTCAACCAACAAAATTCTCTCAATTTATTGACATGGTACCACCTATTTTACCACTTGCATGACATGTGGCCCAAGACAGAAGTTGATGTTATACAAAATTGCCCCCTTAAACTTTTTAAAAATATTAAATATAGCA